AAAAAAAAAAAAAAAGAAAGCACACTTCTCATTAACACTTCAATGTATTTGTTATTTTTAATCTATTGTAAGTGGGACTTTTTTCTATTCTTTCATTTTCCCTCTTTTCCTAATGCAAGCTTGTGATATTGTGATACATAAGAAATATTTTTTTGACCTTCATTCATGGTTCCTGGCACAGAGCTCTCAAAACCCTTACAACTTCCTAAGTAATAAGAGGAATTAAGGGTATCTTATTTATAAAAAGCCCATTTCAACCACACCTAAGTATCAACACAGTGACTTCTGTAAAGCTCCTAACAATGGGATGGTTGCCAGGGGAACCAACCATGTGATGAGAGTTGGAACTTTCAGCACCCACTCCCCACCTCTGGGGAAAGGAGAGAGGTTGGAGGTGGAACCAATCACCCAACAACAATGATGTAATCCAACATGTCTATGGAGGCCTCCATGCAAACCCAAAAGGATGGGGTTTGGGGCACTTCTGTTGGTGAACACATGGAGGCACTGGGAGGACAGTGCACCCCGAGAGAGTACGGAAGCTCTGTACCCCTCCCACACACCTTGTCCAATGCACCTCTCCCATCTGGCTGTTCTCTGAGTTCTGTGAACCGCTCTAGCTCATTAATCTAATGGAACCTGAGGAGGGGATTGTGGGAACCTTCAATTACAGCCAGTTGGTCAGAAGCAGAGGGAACTACCTAGACTTTTGACTGGCATCCGAACTGGGGTTTGGCGGTGGTGGAGGGGTGCGGAGGCAGCCTTGCGGGACTCTGTCTTTATCTGTGGAATCTGAAGCTAACTTTGGATAGGTAGTATCAGAACTCAACTGGCACTGTAGGACAACCGGCTCTCGTCCACAGAGAATTAGAGACTTGCTTAGTGTGAGACAAACCCCACACTTTTGGTAACAGACAAGCCAGAAGTATGAAGGAAGTTGTGTGTTGAGAAAAACAGAGAGAGTTTTCCTTTTGGAGTCCTACCATCATTTCTTCCGTACTAAAAAACCTGAAAGAATAACCTGGTTCCTAAACCTCCAAATCATGAGTTTTAGTAAGACTAACAAATCAAACTGAAACCAAATGGTAGAATTCTGGATCTATAAAGAGGTATTCTATCGAGTGCTACAACCTATAAAAAAGCCTTTTACCTTCATTATAGGGCACGGGATTGCCAATCTTTAATCCAACTGCTTCGGCTGATTTCAAAATGTCTAACTCCATCAAAATAATTACTCTCCTACAAAGGCAAAGAAATAGAAACAAGTTAGAAAAAATCAATTCAGAACCTTTCAAATGACAAGCTACTTAAAAAGCTCTCCCCCAATAATCATTTTGATAAAACTATTTCCGTTTGTCAACAGGTTTTCATTACTGAATAACTTGAGAAATATATGGTATCAATTCCTGTGTAAATATTTCCCTTAATCTTTCACTGTATCATTATCAAGGCTTTTTATGATTGCAGGATTTTCATTTTCCATCTAGTCCTTTAATTAAAATGCAGTGCCCTTACCACAAACCGTGCCATCAAGGAGTAAATGACACAATCAGAATTTAGATTAAACACAATAATATATGGCACAACAACAGATGATCTGTTCTCAGAAACATATACCCATCTAAACAATTACCTTTTCCCAGTGAAAACCATTACAACTGTAGCTATTTTTTAATGTAATTATGATCTAAGAACTTATAGTTCTTTTACCTAGCTTTAACTCTAATTAAAACCTTTCAATAACTTCCCAAGAACCTTAGCCCAAAACTGAAACCTTTCACATACCCTACAGGCTCTGTGAGATCTGGTCTTGCTGATCTCTTTCTAGTTCACCTCATACCGCTTCCCAGAAACACTGCTCTCCAGCAGTTCTGTTTGCTTTCAATTCCTGGTATATGCCATGTTTTCTCTTGCCACCCTCTCTCCTGCCACAAAGCCTTTGTATATGCTGCTCACTGACTGTGATGACCTTCTCTCATTCTGCCGTCAGCTAGCACTCATTTTTTGCTCTCATCTCAAATATCATTTCTTTTTTTTTTGTAAAGTTTATTTACTGGGGCACCTGGGTGGCTCAGCTGGTTAAGTGTCCCACTCTTGATTTCAGCTCAGGTCATGATCCCATGGTTCACGAGTTCAAGCCTCATGTAAGGCTTTGTGCCAGGCATGGAGACTGCTTGAGATTCTCTCTCTCTCTCTCTCTCTCTCTCCCTCTCCCTCTGCCCCTTCCCTGCTCTAAAATTTTTAAAAATTAAAAAAATTAAAAATAGTTTTAAATGCTGTATCACAAGACACCATAAGCAAGTTATGATAAAGTGGGATAAAATATTTGAAACAGCTAAAAAGTAGTTGATATCTCTGGTTTACAAAGATCTCCCAGGAAACAAAAACATGCACAAAGTACATATATAAAAAGCTATTCAGAAAAGAACTACAAAGAATAAACAAGTACCTGAAAAGACATTTGAGCTCACGAATATGGAAATGTAAATTAATGATAATTAACAATTATTTTTAAAAATTAGTAGCATACAGGCACCTGGGTGGCTCAGTTGGTTAAGTATCTGACTTTGGCTCAGGTCATGATCTCACAGCTCGTGAATTCGAGCCCCACGTCGGGCTCTGTGCTGACAGCTCAGAGCCTGGAGCCTGCTTTGGATTCTGTCTGTGTCTCTGTCCCTCCCCCACTCGCACTGTGTCTCTCTTTCAAAAATAAACATTTAAGGGGCGCCTGGGTGGCGCAGTCGGTTAAGCGTCCGACTTCAGCCAGGTCACGATCTCGCGGTCCGTGAGTTCGAGCCCCGCGTCAGGCTCTGGGCTGATGGCTCGGAGCCTGGAGCCTGTTTCCGATTCTGTGTCTCCCTCTCTCTCTGCCCCTCCCCCGTTCATGCTCTGTCTCTCTCTGTCCCAAAAAAAATAAAATAAAAACGTTGAAAAAAAAAAAATTAAAAAAATAAAATAAAATAAAATAAAATAAACATTTAAAAAAAATTAGTAGTATCCAATATGTTGACAAGGTTAAGGGGAACTTCCTTCCTTCCTTCCTCCCTCCCTCCCTCCCTTCCTTTCTTTTTCTTTCTTTACAGGTTTTTGAGATATCATTCACATACCACTCCATTTCCCCACCCATGCAGAACCACTAATTTGTTTCCTTGGATTTGTTTATTCAGAAGCACTCTTACACAAAGTTACTGGGTGTATTAATTGGTATATTTTCTGTTAAGAGATGTCGTTTGACCCCCACAACACTAACTCAAGCAATCTGCTCTTCAGAAGTAATAGCACGAACACATAAAGATAAATTTGCAAGGATGATTGCTAAAGCCCAGTTTGGAATAAAGCTAAATGTCCATCAAAAAATTAAGGGGTAAATAAGCTGGGATGTATGGACACAGATTGTCAACAGAGGTAGGAAAGAGTACAAGACATGCCACCATCGTGAGATGGTAGAAAGAGGCAAAGCCCGTGGGACTGAAACTCTATCCCTGACTGTAGAGAACCAAGCCTAAGTTGTTGCACTCAACCCCAGCACAGCACTCCATCTTCTCCCATAACCATACCCCAGAGGACAGAAAAGTGGATAAAAAGAACCACTCAAGCACTCAAAGGTAGCCTGGAGTGGAAGATAATAGATCCCAAGTGGGAAGGTTGGCAAAGAGATGTATCCAGCTTAAACTATGTCGGAGCGAATATGAAGTCTGACAGAACCATCCACGTTAAGCATGAAAAAGATAAAAAGAAATGACATGGCAACAATGCAACATGCAAAAATGTATAAAAATACGAGGAACAAAAAAGGCAGAGACAATTAGAGAATCCAATCTAGAAGAAAGCATAAGCCAAGAAAGGGAATAATACTTCCCAAGAGAGATTTGGAAAATAAGACTAAGAATTCAATAAAATAAAACTCAAAAGATGAGATGAGAGATTGAGAAGAAAAAGGAACTTAAGACAAAAACAGAACAAAAGTAATACCATTATACATCTAACACTTAAAGATTATAAACACCAAGAGACAGCAAGGAGAAAGCTAAAAACTGAACTACTAGTATGTTGAAAAATCTTGACTTAATCCAACATATGCATTAGAAAATAAACTAAAACAAATTGAAGACACAAAGGGAAGACAGTTATCCACAATGTAAATAAAAACTAGAACCAAATGAAATAGAAAACAGCATTAAGGAATAACACACAGAAAAATTGAATTGAAAAGAAATAAATCTGCAGACTGAAAGGGCATACCATGGACCAGAAAAAAAAAAAAAAAAAAAAGGAAGAACAATGGACATTAAGACACAGCCTGGTTAAAGGGCACGTGGATGGCTCAGTCAGTTAAGCGGTTAAGCATCCTACTTCAGCTCAGGTCATCTCACAGTTTGAGTTCCAGTCCCACATCGGGCTCTGTGCTGACAGCTTGGAGCCTGCAGCCTGCTTCAAGTTCTGTATCTCCCTCTCTCTGCCCCTCCCCACTCATGCTCTGTTTCTGCTCTTTCAAAAATAAACATTAAAAAAAAAAAGACATAGCCTGGTTAAGTCACTGAACTTGAAACATAATGAAAGAATTTTTCGATAATCCACAGAACCTATTTAAGTTTTATCAACTGTCTAAATGATGTCCTTAATAATCCAGACCAGGATCACTTGTTATATTTAATTATCAAATCTCTTAAGACTCCTTCAATCTGGAACAGTCTTTCAGTGTACACAATTTTTTTACTTTCATGCTTGAGATTTGAAAATCAGAGGTCACTTATTTTGTAGGATATCCCTTAATTTACCTGAGGTTTCTTCATGATTAGATATAGATTGTGTATCTTTCGCAAAAATATACTATTAGTGATGCTGTGTTATTCTCATTGCATCTTATCAGGTAATACACGATTTCTATTTGTCCCATTACTGGTAATGTTAACCTTAATCACTGGAATAAGGTACTGTCTGCCAGGTTCCTCCACTATGAAGTTGCCTCTGTTCCATTTACTATTAGTAATTATGTTGTGGGGAAGTACTTTAACCCCATAAAAAAACCTGTTACTCTGCAAACTTTCACCACTTGTTTCAGCATCTGCAGTAGACTGAATCCCCCACACCAAAAGATATCCATGTCGTAACCCCTGAAACCTGTGAGCGGGACAACAAAGGACTTTGCAAATGTGATGAAGTTAATGACTGAAATGGCAAGATTATTCCTGAATCCTCAGATGAGCCCTAAAAGAAATGGCATGTATCCTTTAAGAGGGAGGCAGATCTGAAACAGACAGAAGGCAATGTGACCATGGAGGCAGAGACTGGGCTGATGCAGCAAAAAGCCAAGGAATTCTAACCACCACCAGAAGCTGGAAGAGGGAAAGAATGGATTCTTCCAGACAGCTTCCAGAGGGAGCATGCCCCTGCCAACACCAGGATCTCAGCCCAGTGAAACTGATTTCAACTTCCAACCTCCAGGGAGAATAATTTCTGTTGTTTTCAACCACTAAGTTTGTGTTAATTTGTTAGAGCAGTCAAAGCACCCATTGATGTTTCGTGCATGAACTAATATTGTGATGATTACCAAATGGCGACTTTCTATTCCATCATTCCTTCTACATTTATTAGATGGCATTCTATGTTAAGAAGAACCTTTATCTTCCCCCCATGTATTCATTTATTCAGTACAGACTTACGAACTCCTATTGTATTCAACAGGTTGTAATCTGTTTGCACTTTTATTGTGGTTTATAAATTATCTTAGATTGGCAAGTGTGAGATTTCTGCCAGCCTTTTGACAGGGTCCCCTCTCCCTTTGAGCACTTCCTTACCAACTGACACATTAAGATAGTCCAGGCTCGACTTATAATTTCCAAGCCCATAACAAGCCATCCTCCAAGGAGCCTTGGTTCTTTTTGGCATTCAGAAACCAAGATGTGCTAAGTGGGCTCACAGCTATTGTGCTGTTGCTGCTCCAAAGCTCTCTTGGTAGACAGACCTAGGCAAGACAGACAGACAGACAGACAGACACAGACACACACACTGCACAATATATGTATACTCCTACACCAACCAGATGTGAAGAGACAGTTTTCAAAAGAAGACATACCTAGACAAGAGATACAGGAAAAGATACTCTACTTCATGAATCAGGGAAATAGAAATCAAAACCACAATAAGACATCACCTCATTCATATCTGTCAGAATAGCAATTATCAAAAAGACTAGAAATAACAAGTGTTGGCGAGAATATGGAGAAAAGGGAACCCTTGTACAGCTGTTGGTGAAAATGTAAATTGGTGCAGCCACTATGGAAAACGCTATGCAAGCTCCTCAAAAAGTTAAAACTAGAACTACCATATGATCCAGCAATTCCACTTATGGGCATTTATCCAAAGAAAACAAAAGTAGTAACTTGAAAAGATAACTACACCCCCATGTTCACTGCAGCACTATTTATAATAGCCAAGATACGGAAACAACCTAAGTGTCCACCAATAGATGAATGCATAAACAAACTGTGGTACACACACACACACACACACACACACACACACACACACCACACCACACACACACACAATTATTCAGCCATTTAAAGAAAAGGAGGATCTTGCCATTTGTGAAAACATGGATAGGCTTCCAAGGCATTATGCTAAGTCAGACAAAGAAAGGCAATTACCATTTGATCTCTCATATGTGGAAATAAGCTCATAGATACAAAGAACAAACTGATTGGTGGTTGTTAGAGGCAAGGGGAAGGGGGTGGGAGAAATGGGAGAACTGTTTTTGTTTTTAGTTTAAATAAATTGAATAACAATAAAATAAAAATAAAATAAAATAGAACTTTATTTTTTTATCAATTTTCTTTATGTTTTTATTTTATTTTTGAGAGACAGATAGAGTGTGAGTGGGGGAGGAGCAGAGAGAAAGGGAGAACACAGAATCTGAAGCAGGCTCCAGGCTCTGAGCTGTCAGCACAGAGCCCAAAGCGGGGCTCGAACTCACAGACTGTGAGATCATGCCCTGAGCCAAAGTTGGATGCTTAACCAACTGAGCCACCCAGGCGACCCAATAAAATAGAACTTTAAAACCCCAAACTAATTATCTATATCTGTATCTACATCTACCTATCAAAAACATTGAGTTCACTCTGAAACCTCCAGTTCCAATCCAGAATCACAGATTTCTCCCTTGGCTAGCTCTCACTGCCCTCAACATATTTATTAAATCAATTCCCCTCATATGTCACCACCTGCCACTGCTGCACCCACGGACATCCTCCTCCCGATGCTCAAGTTCCATACCTAGTTCTAAGATTACCACCATCCCATTACAAACAAGCACCCTCCTCTCCCCATTGGTTCTGACACTCATGCTGGGCTATCACCACTTCTTGCAGACCCCCTCCTTATTCTGCTTGGCCTCCCTCCTTATCCCACCCAGTCTCCAACAACATGCTGCTGTCCCCTGACCCCCACACTCCCAGATGGCTTCATCCCTTGCTCAGGATCCAACGGCCACACAGACTCTTGCCTCACCCTACTCAGGCTCCGACAACCCATTCTGGGCCGCAGCCATTCTCCCCTCGTGTGTGTTCTCCTTACCTGCTGGGGCTCCAGCACCCTGTCCAGCTCACAAAGACCCCGTCCTCACTTTGTTTGGGCTAATACCTGGTTCCAGACCACCACCACCACCACCCCTCCCTTGTAAACACCTACCTTGCTTGACCCCACCTAATGGTTTTGGACCCAATTATACAGGAAGGAAGAGAGCAGTAACAGTGTTTATATTGTCATTCCACTACCAAGATGATTTCCATCGATTCACCAATTATTGATAAATATGCATGGTGAGATTTTTGGAATGATACTCATTAAATCATAATATAGTTATTTCTAGGTTGTATCAATTTTAGACCATTTTTTCCCCTTCTTTGTACCTTGTTTTGCATTGCTTGAATTGGTGATTCTGTGTGTTGTTTTTATTAAAATGATCGTCTTCTCTAAAAATCTGAATACACAAAGAGCTACAAATATATTCTAAGGAACACTGGTGATAAACTTTAAATAGTGAAATACTGTGTAATATTAAATGTTAACTAAATTAAAGTAAACTTATACAATGACATGCTAAGTAATATATGACATAGAGGTTTATCTAGGAACATGTAAAACAACAACCATAAACTTAAAAAAGAATTTTATAAAACTATATTATGAAGTTTTTTTTAAGGAAAATACAAATTTATAAGTACTCATGTTTACAGAAAAATTCTGGAAGGATTACAACAAAATGTTACTAATAGTTACTTCTAGGCAGTGGGATTACAGTTATTTTTATTTATGTGAATTTTATAATGTACGTATGACAAAAGTCTTTTTTACAAAGCACCAGGACAAGGGGCGCCTGGGTGGCTCAGTCAGTTGAGCGTTCGACTTCGGCTCAGGTCATGATCTTATGGTTCATGGGTTCGAGCCCCGTGTCAGGCTCTGAGATGATAGCTCAGAACCTGTAGCCTGCTTCGGATTCTGTGTCTCCCTCTCTCTCTGCCCCTCCCCTGCTCATGCGCTGTCCTCTCTCTGTCTCAAAAATGAATATAAACATTAAAAAAAAAATTTTTTT